ATAAATATATTTTTTCTTGATACATTATTTAGAAATAATCTATTTAATTGGTTTTTAAAATACATGCGTAATGAGTTTGATTATAAAAATCCAGTCACTAAGACCAAAAAATTGTGCATCAAGTTTAAAAACTGCTACATTGTAAAATACTGTCACATAAAAATCAAGTACAATTTTATATTTTGAAAAAAAAGCAATATGACGCATTTCGAATTACTTAAGCTGTATTGTTCATCGTATATCAAGTATGGGCGGTCGTTACGTTACAATGGTAATCCTACTGTATCCAACCGCAAAGTGTGGCATTAGCTGCGCATGCGCATGAGTGTCGGCACGCGATCGATGTCATACACAACGCTTCCACTGCATCGTGGGCAAGCGAAGGCAATCAAGCGCGCGCGCCTTCTGTGGTATGTGGTTTTTTACTGTCATTTGCAGGACAGTCAATAATCGACCAGTTGAGAACTTGTGTTAGCAGACGAGCGACTGTTACTATAATTTTCATACAAAGTAGTATCATAAGAATAAAGACTAGGTAGAAGTGACACTTCTTTCAATTCAATAAGTGTGTTAGTTGCTCAAATCGTCCTTGGGAACTGAATTCCTTTTAAGATGGCGATAGAATCTGTACTAGTGCTATTTATTGATTATTTTGTAATAAAAGATAATTTGAGACAAAATTTCTAAATTAGCGAATGCTTTTAATTATTGCGTATATTATTATTTACTAACAGCATTTAGCAAAATTTTATTTTTCTTTATAACTTTATTTTTTTATTTATTTGATCTATTTTACTATAAAGTAGATTATATACTCCTTATTAATTCAAATATTAATAAATTTTTAATGTATTGATGGTAAGAACTGAGTTGAAACTTTTATTAATACCTATTCACTTAAATCCCATCCTTATGCCTCTATTCAAGTTTATACAAGGACGTACTTAGGAATCTTTTTCTATTTTATCAATATGATAACAAATTGCTCTTACTAATTATATATTAAATGAGTATAGTTTTTACAACTCTATTTAAGCGAGAGCAAGTGGGGTACATTTAGTCGGCATCGGTGTAAAGGTGGTAAAGTAAAGTACATAAGTGTCACTTCTACCCAGATTATTTATTCTTATGGTAGTACCTTCGTTGTTATTATAAAATACAACAGTTATGCAATCACCGGGACGATGGGATTCGCAATATTTACAAGATTGAAAAAGCCGATGATGTTAGAATACTTATATTTAAATATTAGAATGATGATATTTATTTTGATGATAGATTATTTTTTATTTATATAATTATCATGGAAATACATTTTAGAGAACATAAGAATTTTTAGTACTACTTAAATCTCCCGGGCTTGTGTGTGGCATTGTCATTTCGTACTTCTCCTTAATTTATTTAACAGAAGAACGAAGCATGTTATGAAATATACAAGAATTAAACACTTTACTCCTCGGTTGTAATTTTTTGGCATTCGATTTTGGCTAACACACATTTTGTCAACTACATTTATGGCAAGAAAGAAGGCTGTTAAAAATGTCTGATAAGCATTTAATGTAAGATAACATCCATTTATTGTGATTTTGATTTGTTAACAAAACGTTTGTGTTCAAAGTCATATTGCTCAAAAATTAAATTATTATTTATTAAATAGTAGAAAATCAAAGTTTTAATTTTCTTTTCATTTAAAAGTTTCCTCTTGTCGGTGCAACTAATTCTAACAGAGTATACTGATTCACCCATGATACCTCCCATGCGTTGCCATTCCTGAGAACTCAGGTATTATTCCTCTGTACCCTGTAAATTCACGCCATACCTCACCCTTCAAACCGAAACACAGCCATGCAAACACAACTGCTTCATGGGTAAAACACGAATGGGAAAGAGGTACCCAAGCAAACGACTTTTGTACAAAGTCTCCCACTGGTTCATGCATCTTCCTCCAGCCAATTCTATTTTCCTTGACCTCCGTATACGACATGACACCTAGTGTTTCCTTTATTTGTCCCATGTAGTTATTCCTTGGTCTTCCTCTTTTGGCGTCTATTTTTCCCTCTACTATGCTCTTAAAAAATTGTCATGTCGTATAAGTTGGCCCAGCATTTTGCCTCTCCAATTATTTAATTTAATTTAAAATTTAATTAAAACTACAATAAAGTTTTAGAACTCCTTTATGCAACTGTAAATATGATAACATGTTTTATAAACAAATTACTTAAGTACAGTAAAATGTTGGCAACTTTGTCTCTAAAAGATGAGATGCTGTAAAACCGAAGGATACCCTTTAATCTGTAAATTTTATGATAGCTATTAATTTCGCGATAGTTTATATGGGTGTCTTAAAAGATTGTGGCTTAGCTTCATAACCCACATAAAGACACTTCCTGAAATTAAACTATACTACATTGTCTGAGGAAACACCAAAAGGGCACGCCACTTGATCTGTAATAACATGTCAATGTCTCGATGCTAGGTTACTGTTATTTATTACTAATGATCCGGCCCAGTTTCCCGCGGGTAGATACATAGACATTTCAAAACTTCTATAGGTGAGTGAATTTCTAAAATCGGTTGAGTACTTATTAAGTTTGAAACTTGTGAAAACTGCATTCAATTTGGTGCAACAGTTTTTGCGTGATCCTGGTACAAGCACACAGACAGGCAGACATACAGATAAAATCTCTAAAAAATATTGTTTATGCATTTATTAGTTTTATGAAGACTTCATATATTTTTTTTTAATATTTCTCATGTACAAACATTAGTTTCAATTTTACTCGTATTATATTAATGAGAGTAAGATAAGTTAATTTTTATTTGTTCCTCATTTGTAAATATTTACCTGATCGATGTTTAATTTATTACTTGATATTATTTGACTCCTTGAGGACATCTAAAATTACAAAAAAAAAAATGTATGATTTTTGGAAAAAAAAAATATTAATTACTATAAGTTGACTTATACTGATCATGAATGAACTATTCCATCTACACAACTACATTTTATATATTTCTGTAACCACACAAGTGTGTAATTTACTTTAATTGATACTTGACAGCGGTCGCAAACGGCTATTCGTGAAGTACCAGACGCAAGTATTAATATCCTGGCCGGATTGTTATTATCCATAACAAGTCAGTAATTAGCGTTTGTATGACTGAACGTGTCAGTGGAAACTCATTTCGCATTCCATATTTCAAAAAGTTTATTACCAAGAAACAGAAATAGTTGCGTTATTGTTTAGGTCTGGGGAATAAAAGCGCAATTGCTAGCGATTTAATATGTCAGGTCGACTGTCGTTTCCTAAGAAAACAATAAAATAAAATTAATTGATTATTCATTAGTATTATCATCATCATATCAGCCGTAATGTCCACTGATAAACATAGGCCTCAGCCAGTAGTTGCCGCCGCTATATAGTCATCAACCGCAGTTAGGTTTTGATGATGTTTAAAGAGGGACGAAAATATAATATATAACAAGTTATTTGTTCTATCCATAAAAGTTAAAGAAAATTATCACTAATATTAGCTGCTTCTCGTGACTTTGTCTGTGATGTATTAAGTTAGTATATAACCTATCCGTGTATATAATTTCATTCCAATCGGTTCAGGTGTTTAAGCGTAATTAAGTAATAAACTACTATTACTAGTTCTAGTTACTACTGTTCTGTTTTTATTAGTATATACCCAACGTATCCCACATCATTATGTCGCGTACAGGCATTCCAGTCACTGCGGTTCAATATCGTGATCAATCATCACTTAGTCACCATCAATTTGATTTATGATTCATCATTCAGTAGCAATGCATCGGACGTAATGTAAGACGGGAACGAAGATGTAAAACGGTACAATTAACTCGATGTAATTTAGTTCTGTGTTGATTTACTAATATGCTTTTATGAAGTTATGTTAATATCTGTCTTGAGCATTTCAATAGATTAAATTCATCTAAATATGTCTATGTACATTTATAAATAAGTAATCTATTTTATAAATAGTTATCTAAATATTTTTATGTGTTTATTCATAAGAAGGTTAAATTATTTATATCATAGAAGAAGCATTATATAAATTGTGTCTGTATTTATTCGAAGAAGGTTTTAAAATTATTTATTTATTTAACTCTTTATTGCACCAGAAACATAAACATATACAGTGACATTTAAACAGTTCAAATGAAATACAGTAATATACAGATTAAAATATAATACATAAAGGTACTTAGGTCTTATCGCTAGCGCAATCTATTATAGACAACCTTTGGTTAAAGGAGAACAAATAGAAGCAGATAGATGGCGCAAGATTGAATTAATAATTTTTACGTGCATAACATACAAAAACTATAGTATTTTATTTTATTTAAATAAACACAAATAATCTACAAAATAGAGACATCACCGTACGCATTCACATATTATTATGTGTACAAACAGATAATTATGTAGAACAGACTCAATCCTATGGTTTTTTAAATAATCAACAGTTCCTCCGCGTATCCTGTGTTCCCATATTATTATTCAGAGAGTCAGGACGACGTTTAGACAAGTTATCAATTATAAAGATCTAACGTAGAATTAAATATCGTGCTACTTGTACACATCACTGCAACTTCGTAGGTACTTTTTATGCAACTTAGAATGGTAAACAAACTGATTGACTGATGGAAAGTGGTAACCATAATGGTGGTACTTTTTATTTTGTAATTGAATGTATTTTTAAATATATCTGTTATAAAATAGTCATTACGTTTAATTTTTTTTTATTTTGGACAAGTTAGTTAATATTTAAGTAATAATGCTTAAAGAGTAAAATACAAAAGTACGTTATAAATGCTCACATAGGAGGGAACAACAATGAAGACTGCAAAATAAAATAATTATTTGAAAAATAACATCATGATAAACCATGAGAGGGTTTAACACAAAAGAGCCAGCTATGTTAAACCCATTGAAAAGTATTGATGCAGAATATGAGAATAATAACTAACTTACCTTGCTTACGACTTCATTTTACTTTTTGTAGACATTTTCTTCATATCTGTAATAGAAACAATAAACAAAATTAAAACCTAATTTGACTATTTTAAAATTAATATAATATACCAAATATTATGATGAATCATCAAATCAATGATCAAAGGTTGACTGTAAGAGATCCCTTTATGGGATAAGTCCGCCATTGTATACTAAATCATTTACTAGTATTTAATCTGACTTATGTACAATAAAGATTTTTACAATACAATACAATACAATGAATTCATAAGTCCAAACTGTTATATTTCCCTCTACTCAGTAGGGATTTTCCTATTATAGGGAAGATACCTTTATCTGTGGCTCAGTATCATACAAAATTATATTATTCAATAACTATGTAGATATTAAACAATATTAATAAATGAAACTAAATTACATAATAATAATAATACGATTTAGTTTCATTTTCATGGGAAATATATTTCTTTCTGTTTTTTAACTGTTTTTTGTGATATCTTGTGATGTATTTTTTTTTTCATTTATTTTATTAACAATTTTAACTACCTGTGTGTATTTTTTATTTGTTTATATTTGCTAACGTACCCAATAACAGACTTACAATTATTACAGTATCGGTATAGTTACGATTATAATAATAATAATACATTTTTCTGGTTTGTATTTGAGCACAAAAATAAATCAATGTAAATTATTTAAATATTGAAAATTAATTTCAATATAGACAATTAGGTACAAGAACTGTTTTTTATCAATCGTCCGATGGGCATGTCTAGACAGAGTGATACGTTTCGGATTGTCATGTAATTATTCGGGACCATGAATGTTCCTTACATTATGCATTTATATAATAAATTTTGTTAACATATAAATATAATATAACATTATTGTATAATTCAAATAAATAAATAATTTAATTGATTGCAAATACAATAACTAATGTTTGTTTTGTACTTAGCTCGATAATACTGGTATTATACAACAGCTGAACATTGTTAATGGAATAACAGCATATTATGAGCGATTTTATATAATATTACCAAAAAATACAATGTGGTTTCTTCTATGTATTGAACTGGGTTATAATGTAATCGCTGTAATGTAATAGAAACGAATACGAATACTTGTCGGTTTGTTTTTATATTGCACACATTACATTAGATACGCACCTAATGATAATTAGTAATCATTGCTCACGGTATCGAGCGTTTAACACTAGTTGATTAGAAAATTACAAAATACCTATATACTAACATATAGGTATTTTGTAAGTTTTGGCTAATATGTAAGTTTAGCCGTGTGATTCCGGCGTAGAATAGGTCACCTTAACCTTTCCCGTGGGTGTCGTAAAAGGCGACTAAGGGAAGGCGAGGGATGGACAGCAGAGTCTCTCTTAAAACATCTCCAAAGCCTAACTGCGATTGTCAATCCGCCTGCCAAGCATGGCAACTACTAGCAAAACCCTCTAAGAGGGAAACTTATGTTCAGCATTGGACAGTTAAAAGCCGATATAATGATGATGATGTCAATTTGAGACTGTATAAATGTTTAGCTTATATTTAATCTTACTTGTAGAGAAGCTTATATTATACGAAATAACTCAAATTTTTATAAATTATCTCTTTTTTCAACCAACTTCATAAAGAAGGTGGTTCTCAATTCGATTGTATTTTTTTTATCTTTATTACCTAATAACTTCGTCAGTTCTAAACCCATTTGGATTTTTTTTTTTATCTGAAAAGATATACTTACCGATTGGTGTCATAAACATTTTAACAAAATCGGTTCGGTAGTTCAGTTTTGTTTAATGTAACCTATTCGATGACATCATCAGTTTGGTTTGTCATTTATTTAAAAACACTTTAGGTTTCACTGGGTCAAGTAAAAAGTAAGTACTTGTATTTTTTTTTGTGAATTACTTAGCATTTGTTGATGAAGCACTAGTCAGTAATTAAATAAGTAGGTGATGTCAGAAACCATTAAAGCTATGTGTTATAATCTTGGACATTTCGGGTGAGTAATGAGACAATAAAAGACAGGCGATATTCGTATTTACTTTTTTTCACAAAATATTTATAAAACTCTCTCGAGATACAAATATAAGTTTATTAGGTATTTCGTAACTTTTTGTTATGAATTGGCTATAACACGGTTTTTCTAAATAATACAAAGTAAAGAAATAGTTTAACTGAAATAGTCTATCTTAATATATTGATTGTATTAAATCTGTTCCGTCATCCGACATTATCTTATTTTTATTATATTAATAATAATATTATATTAGTTTTCAGAAATGGCAACGCATAAGGGGTACCGATTATGGGCGAAACAGTAAACTTTGTCATATTCATGGTACTGCTCATGTCTATAGGCGACGGTTACCACTTTCCACCAGGTGGGCCATCAGCTTGTTTGCCATTCTAAGTTGCATAAAAAAAGCAGTAGTTACGTGAATTTGGGAGGTCTGTCGTGGTCTAGCTCAATCATGTTTATTGACAAACAATAAACCATTATGTTAATGATTTCATAATCAAACATTGTAAAGCATCGTAATTGCACTTTCATGTTGAACCAAATCCGTTTGTCGACTTCTGCTTACCTAAGTGGCCGGTAAAAATTAAAAATACCGCTATTGCTTAGAACAAATTTACTTATGATAGCCACACAAATAAACTATATGTCCGCGTTCATAGTTCGTTCACTTAGAGAACAATTATTGTGGAGCCAAGCAGAGCGTACGTGTGTAATATTTTTTTTATTAGTATTAAACTTTATGCGGTTGCTAATAAGAGCCATTTTAGTTTTAACGATTATATCGTATATTTATGATGGGTGCGCTATGGTAGGATGAGCGGCACTGAACCGAGGCAAATAAGTAGCCAGAACTATAATGTGCTCGCGTGCTTAGAGCTTTCTTCCTAGTTGTAACCGGAAATGTGGTGAAGAAATTGATAAATATTTCATTAAAACTCAGTGATTTGTATTAAATAAGTAATGTTGCATTTTTAATTTATTGCAAGAACAGGACTACTTATATGTTGTTGAGAGTCATATTTTGAAAATACATTTTATCACATGATAATGTAAATATTTTCAAATTAACTGAGTGACATAATACTAAAAACTATTGTCATTATCTATTTTATTGAGCTAGTAGTATGCACCCAGTAAGATTAAATACTCATCGGCACGTTATCCTAACAAATTTGTCGTAAAAAACTGTCAGTTTATCTCAGTTTATATTGGGTTCGCTGAAAGAAACTTTTTTTGGGAGTAAATTGCTCGTCCTTATACTCTATTATGTTTAACAATTCTGATACAATACCTTTTTTGTGTACAATAAAGAATAAAGAAAAAAGTATGTCCGGACGATTGAAATATTTGAAAATTCAAATATTTTACCTTGATACTTATCTATGTTATAAAAATACCGTACGAATTGTAAAATTTCAGCCTCTTAGATGTGAACAATTTAGGCAATTTATTATCAATTCCTCAATAAATGATAATTACCTAGATACCAAAATTACAATATTAGAGGACAATTTAATTCGAGTCCTAAATATAGTTATTTATGTGAGTGAAATATAAAAAAAGATTATTATTACACTTAAGAGCTACAATCACCATCACCGTCTTAATATAATGTCAGCGTGGCCCAGTCTGCAGCTTGTAAACAGCGGTAACCAGTAAACACATTTGCAGTTTCCCACAGTTGAGTAAATTCATAAACCGCAGTGCTCTGCGAAGGGCAACGTATCGTGGCTAATATTATGTAATAAGCATGCTTCGAGCGTCGGCTGTCTTAATGAGACTTCTTCCTTACCAAGTATAACTTAGCAGCAGTAGTCATTTTAAATACAGTGTATTCCCATAGTACCAAATAGTCCGCCTTTAAAATGGCATATGAAACTAAATCTAAGGGAATGTTCAAATATTACAAAATACAGTATTTGAAGATTTTTGACCATCACTCCCCCCATATAACGAACTGTAACATTTTACTGTATCGCTTCCTCCTCCCTAAACGTTACGTAACACCAACACGACCACTAAAATCTAAAAGTTATAACACTAACAACTGCTAATAACAAAAACAAAAAAAAATTACTTACAATACAGTCGAGGGATTCCCCGTAAAATATAAACGAAAAGGGTTGTCAACATGGAAGGTTTTAATTTTTTATTTAAATAAAGTAAAGACATTGACACGTAATACGTTGCTCGAATCCCCCTCATTATTACAAGAGCACGCATACGTAATCCTTTCCCAAATTGCGTTACTTAATACTTGAATGCCCCCTAAGTAAATAGTCAGATCATGTCAAATTCGTTTACTTATCTGTGATAGTACCAGAGAGACTTTATATAAAAGTTGTTGATATGGATATTTCTATAACTTTCGTATTCTGTCAGCAAGCAGCTTTTTGTATAGCTTTATTTTAGTTCTAAGCGTGATATGTGACAGTAAAATCACAATGTATGAAACTATAATATCTTAATTTTCAGGAATTACAACCTATGTAGTGGTATTTTACGTTGGGCATCATAGTATTATTCTGTGGCGCCTATGATGCTGTTCATGATTGTAGATGACGCTCGCCAATTTCTTTCCTTTAGGCAGACCGTCAGCTTCCTATCGTATAATTACTTTAATGAAAAACTAAATTAGGGCTAAAATATTTATTTTATCGATGGCAACGTATGTATGTTTAAATGAACACGACGTTTATAATACTTATTTAAACATGCAGATATGTGATATTTTAATAGACAATCTAAATACGTCTTTGAGCCTTGTCTTGATTCTCTCTGTATACACCGAAAGGAACTCGGTGTGATAATAAATAACCATGACGTGAATTTATTTTCCAACAAATTATTGATTTAAGAGAGGACGCTTTGTTTTACCTATTCGATGTTACAAAATGCGACATTGGGCATGCTTTTCATAATGCACAAGAGAAATTGGATGAAGCTGTGTGTACAGCATAACGAAGTACTTACAATATACACATACGCAATCACTTTTAAATTAAGTAC